ATATATATATATATACAGCTTCAGCTTAGATTAGCCTCGATAAAATACACAAATACGTGCACCAGTTTCCCCTCTATTTTCTTATTTAATTAATGAGAATTAAGAACATTGTCGGTACTCGGAAATTTGGTAGAACTAATCCCCTCGAAATATTTAATCCATGAGATTCTAAAAAGATAGCTTTTAAACCTTTTGATGAAAACAGCATAATCTGAATTGCTAGCAGGACGAATAATGTGTATGAGCAGTTTATAAAACGTTAGATTATCTACAATAATGTCTACAATATATTTAGTTTTTATAAGTACTAATAATTAAATTATAAAAAAGATGATTGGACAATATTACAGTTTCTAGGTCTCGTAAAGAAATTTTGCGAGAAAAAAATCTAAAATTTATTCTTTTTTTTTCTCTCTTTAACTTTAGTTTTTAGTTTTTAATTCTTTATTTCTCTTATGTAGCTTTTACAATGTATACGTTCTATGAAATTCATTTAAGTCAATAAATGCGATAATATTTTTTAAATAAAAATTACTTAAATAAAAAAAACGAACAGATTTTTCATTAAAATAATAATGCAATTTGTTTAAATGTGGGAGTTTTCACACATTAACAGCACATTAAGTTTTTGTTTTCATATCCAAAATAATTCCCGAAAAAAAATTCCCGAATCTCGTAAGGAACTTCTCACATTCAATAAGAGGTAAAATTCAATAGAGGTAATTTTTCTTCTTCTTTTTTTACATTACTTTTTAAAATAATAAAATCCTCAAAATTTTAAGATTATTGGGTACTCTCTTTAGACACGTTCCCTCTAATGTGTTGTATGTTATCATCTTGGATTAATTACGTCAATCTTAAACAATACTATTTGTGAAAATTAGGTATTTAACAATGTTTCTTTAATTCGATCTATAACAATATCATTGTTTAATTAGTGTTAATCATACATTGTTAAAAAAATTTTGTGAAACCAACTAATTGTTACTGCGTAACTAAGTATAGCGTGCATTGTTTTAGAACGGAATGCATCATTTCTAAAGTTTGAGTGCTATCTGTAGGTGATTATTTTACAGTTGCTTAAACTATTGTTAGAAAAATGGCAAATGTGGTGAGATTTTTGCGAAAAAGGCTGTAAGTATCAGATATTGGTAATATTATCTTATAGTAGCATTAATTTAACTATTTTTTTCATAAAAGTATATTTCACCTCGAATAGAAAATCGACGCTATAGCTTAAACTTCAATTTTAAACTCAACCGTAAATAGTAATCCAATAAAATAGCTTTGTGCACTTTTATTAATCGTAATATTTAATAAAATGTATAGTTCTTTATTTAACGTTTAGGAATAATGTTTCCAAAGGTGAATTTAACTGAATAAAATTATAAATATTAGAAAACGTAATGTTATTTTATCTATCTATCTATCTATCTATCTATCTATCTATATATATATATATATAAGTTCAAAATGAAGAATAAAACAAAGAAAAATTATAGCTATATGAAAAAAAGGGGGTGGGAAATAATAAGTAAAAAAACAACAAACAAAATTTTATTTAGAAAAAAAAAAAAAAAAAAAAGGGAAAGGGATTTTACTGCTT